GGAAGACATGTCTCCGGTGTTCTAGATGTGCTCAAGTTCCAATTATTATCTTGTCGCAGCAAAGATTTGCAATCAACATAAGAAGTGCTCGATGAGGAAAAATTGTTGCAATTACATCATAAAGCCAACCGGTATCTATTCGACTTATGCTCTTCTTTCGGTGGCCAGGTAGAAGAAAAAATGGAACGACATTTCAAGCAGCTCGTTATTTACTGACGTTACAGAAATAATTGGTTTTGGTAGTGTCAGAAAAATAGCTGGTACGATGAGGAATGTCGAGCTGTAATGTAGAGAAAACAGCCTGCTTACCTCGCAACGTTGGGATGGCATGGGATGGGAGGACAAAATAAGAAAGATGTCGAGCTAGGTAAATACGAAGAGTGTGAGAAGATCTAAAACAAACGATGTCCAAAGCTTACTGAGTTTGCTTAGATAACACTTCTGCTTAACTGCAGTGGAAATGAGTCAACCGGAGATGGCGAATCCGATTTCCCAAGCGCTGACGATCAAATAACGGTACCACAATCCGATTACCATACAGTTGGAATAGTGATTGATGGTGAGATATTTAAATAAGGCGACGAAGCAATGATAAGGTGCATAAATCAGCTTCTTTGTAGAATACGCTCAGACGACAACATGGCCGACAACATAGATGATTGGAACCTAAGTCCCTATAATAAAAGAGATTCCACAGTCACAGCGCGAATTAACGTGGATTAGTCTTTTCAGTATCGCATATATGTAAGGTCTTGACTAATATTTTGCGTGAAATTTTCGAGGCAAATTTTGAAAAAATTAATTAAACCTTATCAGTGTGTTCTAAGACTTTTTTATCGATCTCAAAACTGCCTTACACATGCAGGCTTCAAAACTTATACCGCTGTATAAACTGACATTATACAGTACCAGAACCAGAGTGAGAATTGAGATGAACCAAGTGCGGTTTCTGACAAGAAGTTTTTCTATTATCTGACTTCCTTAACTTAATATGGGAGAAATTAATAAGAGTTTACAAGAGTGTGGATAGGCGGTTTATGGCGAACGATATCAATATATTGGCGATATTTTATTTCAAAAATAAAATAAAATTCAAAAAAATGCATGAAATCTTTATTTGAACCGATAGTACGGTCCATATAATTCAATGCTGGAAAACAATTTCATGCAAATGTTGACAAGGACTGCGCCTCAAATGATATATCCGCTTAGTCCAATTTTGGCAAACCCCTTTCAACATTTCGGCCGGTATGTCACGAATAAATGCTTCAATGTTGTACTCCAATGCATCAGTTGAAGCGAGCTTGTGTCTGTATAGACATTAGATTTAACATAGTCCCACAAAAAATAGTCCAAAGGCGTTAAATCGCACGATCTAGGCGCCCAACAGACCGGTCCCGAACGTGAAATAGAATGTTCATCGAACTTGCCTCTCAATAAGTCCATTGTAACGCCTGTTATATAGCATGTGGCACCGTCTTGTTGAAACCACATGTCATGCAAGTCAAGCTCTTGCATTTTGGGCAATCATCTCACGGTAGCGCTCACCATTCACAGTTACGTTACGATTCGCATCACCTTTGAAGAAATATGGCCCAATGATGCCACCAGCCCATAAATTGCACCATACTGTGATTTTTTCTGTATGCATTGGTAGCTCTTCCAATGCTTCTGGCTGATCATCACTCTAAAATCGACACCCATTGAGCCTAAAATGAGCTCTGAAGCGTGCGTGGAAGAAGCACTCGATGAACTTTCTTAAAATTCAATATTCAATAATTTGCAAGGGTTGTTCGTTTGTAAGACGATTCTTGGTTAAATTACAGATCAAACTGAAGATGTTTGACAGTCAGACAACACAGGAAACGTGCGTTAGCTGTTGAAACCAGTCTTGCCATAAATGTAATAGCTATGAAATCACCCGTTTTTTAAATTATTACTATTATTTTTAATTAATTATATTTTTATTTTATTTTATTTTTTACATAATTTCAGGTTTTTAAAAGCCTTGGACTAGGCTGTTGGCTTTTTAAGGGTAATTTCTTTTTTCATTTCTATTTCATTTATTTTTTTTCTTCTTTATTTTATTAAATATATTATATTACTTAATATTATTTTTAATTTATTAAATCTTTTATTTTATTTTTATTTTGTTTTCATATTGTTTTCGTAATTTATTTTATTTTTTACAGAATTTCAGGTTTTTAAAATCCGTGGACTAGGCTGTGGGTTCATTATGGGTAATTTTATTTGTTTCTTTTCCAATTGATTTTTTATTTTTACTTTTTTATTTAATTTAATTTTATATTTTATATTTTTATTTATTTCATTTATTTTTTTAGTTTAACTTTTTCATCGTGTATAAATATGGACTTTCTAAAAAAAAATTTTTTTTTTGGTATTCACAGAAGAAATGAATTAATTTGGAAGATAAACGTGAATAATTTATTTTATTTAAAAATATGTATATACTTATGGGTGTACACACATGCAGACGTGCATGGGTAAGGCATGCCAATAGGTGTGATGTGTCTCCTCATAACAAAGAGTATGAATTAAAAATAAACTATGCGGAAACCCTACAAAATACAAAAGCTGCATCACTTACCACTAGAGAAATAGTTCGACACATATAAATATGTTTATATTTATGTATGCATGCATTCGTAACTAAACAAAATTCATACAATGTTTTATTCATATTTCATATTTTTTCTACTTAATTTATTTTAATCAATTATTTTATCAATTTCTGTATGTTCGCTGAACAAATTCTTATATTCCTCCATTTAAATTTTTTTATTAATCAAACCCTACACAGAATCGCATTAACAATTTCAAATGACAATATGAAAATTTAAGAATAAAGCACAAAGCGACAACCTTGTCAGGTGCTTCGCGGCGCCGAGCATTATGTCAAAAACACTCAATCAAACGAAGGTTGCGCATGTCGTACGACATTAATGCAAATTTTCAGAAGACTCATGCCAAACACAAGAACACAACTCATCAAAAATGAGTAAATTACGACATTATTAGGCTGACATTGCCGCCGGTCGACGAAAAGTTGGTGACCTCCGTCCAATGACTTTCAAACGGAAAACTAACACAAGCAGATTGTGGACCCAAAGGAGTGTGCGAGGAGAGCACGAGTAAATTGCTTTGTTACAACACTCATTAGGGCTGCGAACAAATCACACAACACTCTATTGCAAGATTTTGCTTTGGCGTGTGGGTATAAAATTTTGCATGTTTATTAGCATATTATTAGGCGCTTGGAGTGTGTGGGTGTGAGGAGTCTGCATTTGTATGCGTGTTGACGTTGCACTTGACACTGCTGAAGGTTGTGCTGCACACAACTTAACCTCGGTCTCACCGACTTTAGGCGCCACGCACTTAACGCAAGAGATCTCTTTAACACACAACCACCCGTACATACTTAGCGCATGACACTCACCACTTATGAGTGTCTCTTCGCTTGTTTATTTGGAAAATATCCACCTTTGCCAACAGTTGTTTGTTTGTTTTGCTGAGACGGATTTTTGTTTGTTTTTTTTTTCTGAGCAAAATTAGTTATTTGTTTTCATTTTAATTACTGTTTATTTAGATTTTCCTTTCTTCTGTATTTCTTTTCGTGGCGCGGAATTCGGTAATCCAAACAACAAGTTGTTCGATGGGAAGCCAATGCGTGCATGGTTTGTGACCGTTAGCTGCGTGTGACGGTGATTACTGTGTAAAAAAAATTTATATATATAGCTATATATGTATATATATGTGTATTGGTATTTTATTTTGTTGCAAGAGAACTTCAACCTTCATCTAATCGCAATTGGAATAAATTATATCGTCATTTGCACATTTGCCATTTGGCGCTTCGTAAAGTTTTACTGTTAGTTTTGCACGCATATAAAAGTATTCGAAAATACAGCGTGAACTCACACACACACACACACTAACATTCACACTTGCACGCACGAAACACTTCAGGCTACAGGATTTTGAGGTTAGCTTTGTTTTAATTAATTTCCACATGTAAGACCTTCAGATGCATGCATCCGATAAGCCTAATATAAAATGTGAGCTGCTATTTTGAGGTTATTAATGCAGCGGCACCATTCACAATGAGACTAATCAATTTTTACAGCACGTGAAAGTGCTAATAGTCAGAGATGCCTATGTAGCGTATTTAGGCCTCTCATGTTCATATACTGTTTTTAAGCTCTTGAGAATTGACCTGGCTTAGATCTACATGCCTTTTCTTATGCCAATCTTGGACTTATGAAAAGGTCTTTCTTCCTTTTCTAGTGCGCTTTATGAAACCCAAAGTACTGCTGACAAATGCTCAGGCTAATTGAGCATAGGCTGTCGAGGTAATGACTTCCGAGAAAGCCTTGTCCAGCGGCACTGAGGGCTGGGCAGTGGCAGAGGTATAATAACACTACGACTCCTCCCCATATGTGTACATATGTCCCTGCTGGAACGAGGAAAATTATTAGAGAAGTAGCCTACTCTCCTATTTTGTGTCCCCATCGGAAACTACCCTCACTTTATGCGAGGAAATGTCAACTCCTCCGAGAGTATTTCTGACACGATATAAAGCTGCTAATGAAAAAACCATCAGCCGTTCGCGGGCGGCTTAGTATAAACTGAAGGTTCCTCCATTTGTTGGGGTCCCTCCATTTGTTGGAAAAACATAAAGGCGGAAAACCACAAATTGGCAGAAATTGCTTCAGCGTTACTAAGCGCCAATTATGTATACATTCTTCGCCGTCACTAGCTCATCAAGATCCAAACATCTTTCTCGAAATATTTTTCTCGTAAACTCCTAATGCCAACTTATGTTAAGTCGAGTAGCAAACTGCAGAGCTTGGCCTTTATTCCTCAAAGGAGGCCTTTACTTTCCCAATGGTCAGTCCAAAGCAACGAGAGGTGTCTGTACTCAATACCGTTTTCACCTTCGTTCCTCAAAATAACAGATTTCTAACAGTAAATTTTCTTAGTTCTTATTTACAGTTGCCAACCGTCGACTTGATGTCAATTTATCCACTAAGAACTGCTAAACTCAACTAATAAATAATTTGCAGAAGAACCCATACGTACATATATATAATGCATCTTCAACATTGTGAGCAAGCGATCAACCGACGATAGCATGACCCGTGACGGAGAGATACCTGCCATATTTAACCCGAAACGGGTGCGTACGCCATCCGTTGTCGTAACCGGTGACTCTCCGAATGGTCCGTATGGTGGTTTCAGTAATGCGCTCAACGCTAGCAATCCACAAATTGCCCACCAAGATTCAATTTCATCAAGTCAACAGGATCCGAGTGAGGTTATAACAATACATCCAGATGCACGTGAAGCGTCTACGCCGATTGGTACGCATCCCGGTTTGCGACGTGGACTCGGTGCTGGTGGTGGCAGTTTTGTGAGTAGTTGCCCTTTAAATACTGGCAGTGCCGGTGGTGGTGGCGGCGGTGGTGGAAATGAATCGGAGCTGCCGACACTGGAGTCGGGCACAGATGGAACTGAGGTGCGATTTCGACGTTTGAAAGCTTTCAGAGAGTCATGTTGTTCGGAGTTGGCACGGAAGGTGAGCAAAGTTTTTGTCAAAAATCTCATGATAATTTATTGAATTTTTTGGCTTATTGCACAGATGTACTTTGGTGTTTGTGTCACCATACTCGTCACTGCATCTTGGGTTGGCGCTACACATTGCATCAAATTTCTCTACTTGAATCGTAGCACATATGCGGCTATAGCAGATGACATTGACAGCACGTCGGATGGTGGCATCGAATTGGATTTAAACAACAATGATGATGATGATGATGATGATGCAGATGATCATAGTAATCTTCTGGGCATAAGTGATACTGCTTTAAGCGTCACTGAGGTGCAGGAAGCTACCAAATTTTTCCAGATCGCACATCCTACTTTACCCGAGTCCACAGTATTCCGTGCACCCTTCTTCGCTGCTTGGTTTTTCACCAATTTCTCCTTCTTCTTCTTCCCCATCTATGTTCTGGGTCGCATGTCGTTGCGTAAATGTGACAAACCGGGTGAGATTTTGGGCGATGTGCTACGCGGCTTTCGAGATCGCGGCTTTACAATCGGTAAGAATGAGTTGAGAATGAAGTACATATTGAACGTCTGGTTTCTATAAACCTCTCTTCTTCGCCCACACAGGTCGTTTCCTCAATCGCTGCCTCTCCTTCTGTATACTGTGGCTGGTGACCACCTATCTTTACACCATGTCTCTACGCGTCCTCTTCGCCACCGATGCTATGGCCCTGTTCGCGACCAATGTCGCTTGTGTTTACCTGCTGTCATGGGTTATTCTACACGAACAATTTGTTGGCGTACGGGTAAGTGTGGCGAACGCTAGAGCACTGAGCGACATGGCATTAAATTGTTATTGAAATAAATGCAATTAAGTGCTTTTTAATCTTCTCTAGATTGTTGCAGTCATTCTATGCGACACTGGCATTGCGCTGCTCGCCTATATGGATGGCATTACGGAGAGTCGCACGCTGAGCGGTGTTGTGCTGGCAACGCTGGGCGCTGCCGGTTATGCAGTATTTAGGGTGGGTATTATGACAACGCGTGAGCGTTTCGCGTTTCGTTTTATACACATACATACGTATGTGGTACGAGTAAAGTACATATGTACTGTTAAATTGGTGAAAAAGTTTAATTATATACAATACATACTTATATATTTACTATAATTGCCACCTCCTTTCTAGGTTATGTTCCGCAAGGTGATGGGCGATCCACCGATTGGTCAGATTGCTTTCACCTTCACCACACTCGGTTTTCTCAACGCCTTGCTGTTGTGGCCCGTCTGCGTGGGCCTATATTTGGCTGGTTATGAGAGCATGCCACCAGATCGTATGCCATGGATTATTTTATTGATTGCCAGTATTTTATTATTGGGTAAATTGAAGCTTTGTTGAATTAGGCAGTGAACGCAATAAAATGAAAAATATTTTTCCTTTCAGTTTTTCACATCCTAATGCAGTTCAGTGCTGCTGTTACCTATAATATGTTCGTGACGCTGGGTTTAATTACGGCAGTGCCGGTTTCAGGTGGTAAGTGAAGGAGACAAGGTTTGGCGGTACTAGTTTTTCGGTTTGTTATATAAATCATTTAATCAGACACTAGACTGCACTTCCACAGCCGTAGTTTAGGTAGTTGAATAGCTATGCCGAGTTCAGCTGCGTTAAAACTGCTCATCCATCCGTGCTCTCATTTATGGTTTCAAGAAATGCAAGCCCTGTCTGTCGTAAGAGACGATTAACTTCACTTAAATTCTGAGATAAACGGCTCTTTAAATTGGAATACGCATCTATGTCAAACCACGAAATTTTAGCCAAATCAACCATGGGAAGTCCGTCGTTTCTACTCTGCACAGATTAGCGCCGCCGTTGGGAGAAACAAATTGACACAACGTGAAACCAGATTATTCGCTGTTTGCTCTTTTCACCATAATGAACGTATTTCTCTTACTTTGTTTCCATCATTAGGTACTAACAACTCAATACGTAGTCACTGATTCAGACTCTCGTTAACATCACTTTTAGGAACAAACTGTAGAAAGTTCATAGGCACGCAGCACTCTTTTTAACGGGAACTCTTCTATCGACCCTTTGAAGGCACTAGAAACTCTTCTAAAATTTCGTCCTCTAGATCTGTATGGCAAACTTCAAACCAGCTGCAACTCAGTTAGGCTGAGAGCAAATCAACTTAAGAGCATCTAAAATATAGATCACCCCAGGATATTATCTCTGCTACAAATACCATTTTAATAAATAATAAGCTCTTTTGCACAACGATACTTGAGAGGTGTCAGCAATGCACTAAGAGAATCTTTTAAATCCTTCTGCGGTGATGATGAAAGGAATTTAGAATGAAACAGACTGAGTAAAGTCCTTTTCAAGAGCTCTGCTATCGCGAATGATACCTCAAGTCAAATGCCGAAATGGCGCCAAACATCCAAAAGAAGAAATGAGCGGCGCAACGTTGTTAACTCGGCTGTAATGGCGAAAGTGGTGTCTATGCCAATAAATAAAAAGAAAAATCTTCATGCTAAATGGAGGCAGGACCAGTCATATTAGTCCTGAAAATTTTCAGCCAGTCTGTCTTGCATCTTTTCTATTAAAAATTAGAGCGATAACGCGTGACGTAATTCTATCAACACCGCTCTTTACAAAATGGTGACAAGGATTGAGAAGGGTTTTTCCCTTAAAGAGAGAGAGAGGCGCATCCGCAACCAAGTATGTTAAAAGAGGTACCCCCAAAGTGGAATTCTCTATCATCTCTTTTGTTGTCTCGAAATTAACACTCCACTTCACAAGCTAAGTAACACAGGCTGCGGGGTGACATCATATCCTGACGACAGCGACTCGAAATCACCTCTTAGAAGGATGGGTAAATTCTCTAATGACTTCTGTAGCGGCTGCAGGGGCATAAACAAGGAGAAGTCGGTAGTGCACTACTTTTGCGACACGCTCCAATGGGAAATGACAGAACCTGTAGGCCCTATCGAAGGACGATCGGATATAGGAAAAGAAAGTAGCGCCTAAATGTGGGCACTTAAAATATTTGAAAAACTAAATTAAAAAAAAACTTTTGGTTGGTTGAAAAAAAGGCCTGACCGCACTCAATGAGCAAACTCAAAACCGCTATTGCGAAAAGATCGTTGGATTTTATAAAACCTGGAAATTTCTTCTTCCTCCATTAGGTTGGAGGAGAGAGTATTGTGGATGATGTGCCGTTTCACTATTGACAGCAGAAAGCCGAAGACTCGCAAGGGTAGTGCTCCAGTGGTTCGTCATCCTCAATGCATATTCTGCGCGCCACTGATTCCACCTTAACAAGCTTATGGAGATTATACCTCATAGGTAGATGCCCCATTAATATACCCATAAAAATGCTAAGTTCTCTTTTATTTAATGCCAGTAAAAGTTTGGTTTGCATACCATTCACGCTACCCACCAATAATTTAGTGTTACGTCCCGCTTTGGAAGAGCTCCTAGTCATTAAGTGTTCCTCTATACTTCACTGTATTAAACAATTTTTGAAGACGTTGAAGGATACTGGACATCCGTATGACCCGGGGGCCAAGTAATATTCACAGTGTTTTCCCGCGATAGTCTTTTAATTCACTCTCTGCATATACTGAGACATCTGGACTTTGCGTTGATACACTTACTTCACTGTCTAGCAGAAACCCGTTAGAATTTCTCGTTAAAGCCGTTGCCCACTTTGTACTTTCAGTAATACCCACAATCTGTGCTTGATATGGAGAGTCGGAGTCATTGAGCTTGAAGCTACCTTGATAATTGGCGTGTTCACAGAAGTACCCTGCTCCTCACAATTAGAGCTATCAGTATAGATACGGATATCTTAATTGTTGCGGAAACCTATTTTTTCATGCTAGGGAAGGAGTAAGGGGCACCCACCTGTGTCTCCATCGCATTTTTCATTTGGCCTGAGTTCCGATATAATTTTCTGAATGTTATCATGTCAATTATGTCAATTGGACTTATGCAGGTAGGACCCTTAAGGCTCTCATCGCTTATACCACTTGTTTATTAACGGTGTTGTCTAAATTAAAATAGGTCTGATTGTATACTGATTTAAAAACGACTGTGTCTGAACATTTATTATTAAGCATTTAAATATGTTTACTTTAGTTGCATAGTTTTAGGCGGTGAAGGTTCACAATTTTGTAAAGTGACTGATTTTTCTTTAAATTTTTCAGCATTGGATGTTGTCCTGTATGGCGCCACATTTGCTGGCATGAAATTGGCGGGTGTGATATTAATCGCTGTTGGCTTTTTCCTCGTTATGTTCCCCGAAAATTGGCCAGACTATATTACTCGCTTGCTAAGGTAAGGCGAAATTTCGTTTAATCAATGCGAATTACGCAAAAACAAATGGAAAATAAATTATTTTTTGCTTGTTTTGGTATGCTAATTTTTTGTCAACATCAAAAATAAATTATTTAGAATTTTCAAAAAATTAGTTCAGTAAATCGTTTATTATATATTTTTTCATAATTAAGCTAAATAAAATTTTTGAAATTAAAATTAAAACTAAATCACAAGAAATTCATTGCTAAAATATTTAATAAATTATATATATTTTATTTATCTAGTAAAAATTGCTAAATAAATTTTCAATAAATTTACTACCTAATAAATGCTAATACATTTAAACAACACAAATTTTTCTAGTAAATAATTGTTATTTTATAAATTATATAAAGCGATAATTTTTTCTAGTAAAAAAGTTCTTAATTTATGCATTACAGAAATTTATTTAATAATGATTGCGAATTTTCACATTTCCGAAAAAAAAAAAACAATTTTTATTGTATTTATGTGTATTTAAAACTTGAGCGTTAAAATAGAAAGTTTTCGTTTCCTGAAAAATTCAAATATAAACTCAAAATTAGGTACATTTCTTTAATAAAAAAAAATTATGTAATTGCAATAAAAACATTTTATTTTTCTTATATTATTCTTATGCCCAACATATTTCAGAAAAAGTGGTCGTGCTATACTGCGTTACCAATGTTGTTGTGAATTAGCTGAAATTCATTATCCCCATGCGGTAGGCTAAAATAATAATGTATAATGATTCTCTCCCTTACAATGAATATATACTTAAATAATTTGACAATTGCGAAATTGTGACTTTTTTATAGAGTTCAATATTTTGCATATATATACATATATATATTTTTTTTTGGCTTCGAAACTAGACTTGCGCTTCAATTAGCATAAAATATAAACTACAAACTAGTGAAATGCATTTTTGAAGTTCGAAAACACTTTCGAAATCCCTTTTAGCAGGGTAAAGCACCGCAAAAAGAATTACTCTTTTGAAACAAATACGCATTCTTATACAATACCTATTTTAGAGACTTGCAAGTATTAATTTTCATTAGCCTTGCTTTATATATGTATAGAAAAAAACTTGAAATTCTCAAAAAAAAAAACTTGCGAATCGCCGTTTAAAGCGGAATATATTTTTGGTACTTTGTAGCATAAAAATGTTACAACATTTTCTTTTTTGTTGCAATTAGCGATAACAGAGACTTTTTACTGAGTTCCTGAGCTGCTGTACGTTTTGCGTTTCTTTTTACCAACTTTGGTTGCCATTACCGTTACTACTACCATTACTACTACTATGTGCCCAAAACTACGCTCACTACTACTACTACTACTACTCTCAAACTCAATCTTCTCTAACTATAATTTCAACTACTTCTACATTACCAACAAATATACCTACAATATACAAATTACCAAATGTACAGTTAACATACATATATTTATTTTAATATAATATATCACCTACATGTAATAAAACAAATGAAACACAAATAACCAAAATATCAGTGTCTCTCACCCACTCCCACAAGCCTCCAAACAAATACAAATGAAAGAAACACAGTAAACAAATACAACGGCCTCGTTTTGGGTTTTGGGGTTGACCACTTTTTTCTTCATTATTCGCCTTTTTATGGGCTTTTTGTGCATACATACTATATCGTAAATATGTAATGATCAGTTGCAGTGTTTATGGATTGCTCGAAACTAAACACCAATTCATTTGTATGTAATTCGTAAACAATAATGCATATACAAGTACCTACATATATACATACATTCGATTATAGATACGAGTATAACCGCTTAATCGATGTTGTGGCTAAAAATAGTTTGTTCATTTTTTTTTTTGTTGGTAATTATGGAAAAAGTTCGAATGTTTGCTCACCCCGTTCTATTGCCCAAACGCTATATATATGTACTTATATCGAGAGTTTACTGTAACCTAATGGCATTTGAAAATGTAAATACAAATACAAATATATTTACTTACCCATACTTGTTTGCTTGTTTAATGAGTGGTTTGAGCAACACGTGCCACAGTAACCACTTAAATTTACATATTTACATATACTAGGATGAACTTAATAAAATATTATTATATATTTTGGATAAATTATACCAAAATTGGATTTTGTACAAAGGGTTTTAATGTAATTTATTACTTTCTTCTTCTGACTTTTATTCAATCTTATTTTTTTTAACTTAATTTAATTGAAGTTAATTTTTTTATTTTATTTTATTTTGTTTTGTAATCTTATCATTTAAATTTATTTTAATTTTTATTTTGTTTTAAATTTATTTAATTAATTTTTTTATTATATTTCATTTTTTTATTATATTTAATTTTTTTATTATTATTATGGTATCTTTTACTATATTTTACATTATTTTATTTTCCATTAATATATTTTTTTCCTCTTTATTTTTATCATATTTTAGACTACATTTTATTTTATTTTCCTACATTATATTTTAGCTTATTTTAATATTTTATTTTATTAACATTTATTATATTTAATTTTGCTTAATCTATTTATTTTTATTTTTATATAATTTATTTTCATATAATTTAATTTTATTGTATTGCACTTCATTTTATTATATTATATTGTATTTTGTATTATGGTTTTTTTATTTTTCTTAAATTTAAAATATTTATTTTATTCAATTCATTTTTTTCAATATTTTCCTTTTTATCGCATTTTATTTTATAGTATTTATTTATATTATGGTTTATATTTAATTTGTTTAAATTTATTTAATTTTACTTGATTTTATTTTTTTTTTCATTTTAGTTTTTAATTTAATTTTGCTTATTTTTATTTTGTTTACTTATATTTTATTTCAATTCATTTATTTAATTTAATTTAAATTTGTTTGGTTTTACTTAATTTTATTTTTTTTTTTCATTTAATTTTAGCTAAGTTTTAGTTTTTAACTTTATTTTATATAATTTTACATTATTTTATTTTAATTTATTTTACTTCATTTTATTTTATTTTTATTTTGTCTTTTTTTTTTTTAATTTTATTTGATTGTATTTTTTTTATTTTATTTTATTTTATTTCATTTTATATTATTTTATTTTATTTTTTTTTTATTTTATTTTATTTTATTATATTTTATTTTATTTTATTTTATTTAATTTAATTTAATTTAATTTTATTTTATTTAATTTTAATTTATTTTATTTTATTTTATTTTATTTTATTTTATTTTATTTTATTTTATTTTATTTTATTTTTTTTTTATTTAATTTCACTCTATTTAACTTTGTTTCAATTTATTTTGTTTCAATTTATTTTATTTAATTTATTTAACTTAATATAATTTTATTTAAATTATTTTATTTTGTTTTATATTATTATAATATATTTTATTTTAGTTTATTTAATTTAAATTAATTAAAATTTAAAAAAAAATTTTTTTTAATTCAACTAATATTAAATAAAAATCAAAGAACAAATTTTTATGCACATTTTTTGCTAAATTCCCGCACATTGCATTGTAAATAAATTGAAATTTAACCATAATTGGCTTGGATAATTTTTTTTTTATTATATATAATATTATTAAGTCAAGCTATGTATGTAATAAACACACGCACACTAACATAAACATATTTTGGCAAGAATTCGGTTTGTGACATTAAATTGTTAACTGCACCAATTGCTTTGCGGCATTTTTTCAGAAGCACCACCGAAAGTGTTGAAGAAACGCATGCAGCTGAAAGCGATTTTGAAATTTCTTCCATATACTAACCAATAATAAAATTCTCTATACTAACTTACTTTTATCTACAAAAAAAATATATATATAAATTCTAAGAAATTGATATAATTAAAAGATTTATAAGTATGTATCATAGATTTTTCAAAAACAGAACATACATATGTACAATTTTGGAATTATTATTTAAAATTTTATGATATAATATTACGGTACAAGGTAGGAACACTAACTAAATTTAGCACTAGGTAAGGTGTGCCAATGGCTGATAATAATAATATGACAGCAGAAAAAAACTAGTGAAATAGAAACTAATATATAATAGGAACAATTGAGAACTTAAACGATTTTTTAAATTTGATTTGATTAGGGATTCAGGTCTAATTTGATTATGAAACTACCACAAACTAAATATTTTTTAACTTTGTAAGAGAAAACTAGTGGCTTTAAAAATTAAATTTTCTGCAATACCGTCAATAAATTGGGCTTATTTTCGCAGCCGATTAAATAATTTTAGCTTATTTATATATATATATATATATATATATTTAAAATTCGTTGTAATTAAAATTGATTCAATGAAATAACCTCAAAGGACAAATGCAGAATTGGAAACTTTACATATCACTTTTGTATTTTTCGTTGGAATTGGTTACAATACATACGATTTTAAATACTAAGAACTATAATTTTTAATTTTAAAATAATTAATTTTTTCAAATATTAACATACTACAATAAAATAAACAAAAAATTAAATATTATATTTTTTTTTGAATTTCGACATTTAAACCTAACCAACTTTTGCATGTAATAATTCTTTGTGCAAAATAAAATATTATAAAATTTTGTTTATTAATTAACAGAACACAAAGTAAATAAAAACAATTTGAAACCGTTGTAAAGCTATCTTATAATTTTCTATTTAGTTCAAATTATTATTTAATTAATTTAATGTCTTATATACTGTCTATATTCGTGTACTCCTCTCATTATTCTCGTATAAAAACGGTATCGATATTTCCATTGTATTTGCAGAAATATCATCTTGTTGGGTCACAACGCGAGGTGAGTTTTGTTTGTAATGCTTTCATTATTTTCACTTTTCTATTTTTGCAAAAAAAAAATAAAAACAAACAAACAGAAAAAAAGCAAACCAAAAAATAATACAAATATACTGACTTGCGTTTAATATGAAAAAAAAATATTTACAACATAAACAAACTTACAATAAAATAATTATTTGCGTATTTTTTTTAACTTCAATTTAAAATGTGTTAAACGAATATATTTTTTTAAACAATTAATAATACTGAAAAATTTACTTAATTTATAACTAAATGCAAACATAGTATAAGTTACTAAATTTCAAAACTCACTACATATAAAGTTACAATTCTTTTCCGATTTTCCATAAAAAAACGTATATGTGTACATACATAACGACAATTTTTCACCACTTTAAATTTTATTTATTAATTTTGTGTTTATTTTCAAAAAAAAAAAAATTAGTTTTTGATTTCGATTTTCGATTCAGTATCTCCATTGGTTACACATTTCTTCGCACTTAATTTGCGTTTCTTCCTGTTTGTATTTTACATACATACATACATGTAAGTTGTTATTAAATTCTTTCAAATCTTTTAATTTTCTACTCCCCTAAAATTAATAATTGTGAGAGTGTCATTGTTGTTATTGTAATTTTTGTGTAAGAATTTGACATAAAATTGCCTTTGAATATATTAATGTGTAAACATGCCGAATACAAATAAATATTACTCATACAAAAACATACAATAATAAATAAACAACTACAACACCAACACAGGATTATAATAATTATAATGCAAAACGTTTTTGTTATGTTTTTTGCTCTAATTCCATATACATATTGATATTGTATTGATGAACGAGTTAATGTTTTTCGATTGTGTGTTTTTTTCTCTATATTCTTTGCATATAAACCCAAATCAATCATAAAAATGTAATTAAAACAAACAAAAAAAACCGTAATTTGTAATGTGGATCAGCAGATATACAAACTATTATCCTGGTACAAACCTTCATATATTTTATTGATTTTAACTGTCACCATTTTCTATAAATACTAAATTAATTTTGTTAAACAAAACCTTAAAGCAAAGTTTTTTTTACTATTTACTTTCTTTAAGCCTTCCTTGAAATGTATAAAATATTATTAATGCTTTTCTTTCCTCTACTCAAACACAAAATCAAAAACACTTGGCTTTAATACAAAATTTTGTTTTTCATAATAACAAAATATTTAGTAAAAAGAAATTGGAAATTAATTGCTTAAAATACCCAAAAAAATGCACATGACTTTTTTTGCGGAAATTATTAAAAAAGAAATGCTTTAAAGGTTCCATGTGTAGAATTCCTAAGACTTTTTGATGCATGATGAAATAATGAAAAGGTGAAGTAGACTAGAAAGAGATTTCAGCACTGCCTTAACACAGCGTAGTATTTTCGGATTTGAAGAGAGGAGGGGGAAAAAAATATAGATACAGAATTTCAGGGTAATTTATTTATTATTGGTTCGGCCAACATCCGAAGACTATAGAAAATTAATTTAAATAAGAAATTAAGTTCATTTTTCTAATTGCGGTCGCCCTTCGGCAGGAAATGTCCACCCCTCCGAGTGTATTTCGGACATGAAATAAAAGCTCCTCATAAAAACCATCAGCCGTTCGGAGGCGGTTTAGTATAAACTGTAGGTCCCTTCATTTCTTGGAAGAGCATTAAGGCGCATAACACAAATTGTAGTAGGCGTTCAGCGGTCCAATTAAATAAATTTGTAAATATATATACTAGCGGCCCCTTACGTGCTTCCCTACGTATCAGGTGTACAACTTTGCTTCCGCCATTTTCCGATAGGTGGCTGTACCGGCTGAGGCTGGTTAAAATACATATTGTAGATGATAATGCCTTTAAAGTGAGTGTGGACAGTGCCTAACGAATTGTCATCGCCGTTTCAGTGACAGTTGTTGTTGTTTTCGTATTATTCACCCTCGAAAATATCCGTTTATGTGCCCAATTCTCGCCATTTGCGGGAAGTTTTACTTTTCTGTTACAATTCGAAAAAAATGCAAGGAAGTCTTGCATCAACCCCCGTATTCCCCAGATGTCGCCCCTTCTGGAAGTCATTCCACCTATTCCGTTCGATGGCACACGGCCTGGCAGATCAACATTTTCAATCCTTCGAAGAATTGGAGAAATGGATTGCTTCATGGATAGCGTCAAAAGAGGACTCCTTTTTTCGAGCCGGGATCCGAAAATTGCCGGAAAGATGGGAGAAAGTTGTCGCTAGCGAAAGACAATACTTTAAATAATATTATATCTGTAAGCACTTTTTCGCAATAAAGCTTTTAATTTTGGAAAAAAAAACGGCGGAAGCAAAGTTGTACACCTGATATAAGAGGAAATAATAAAACAAAATTTAATTTAGACATAAAATTCAATTTTTCAAACCAAAAAATTTTATTAATTTGCTAGTTGTTTGAAAAGTGAATTCAAAACGGCCGGGGATACCGATTCTTTTAAAGGCGTCATGTGAAAAACATTTTTCCTCCAAATTTCCACCACCAACGTTAGGAGTTTGTCCTTATTCCTTGTTGATGGACATCGCTATTGATAAACGCACAAGATATTGTAATCGTTTGAATTGAACTGGCATATCAGGATATCAGGAATCATAGGGATACGTGGTATCAACTGGACTTCTCCTATTAATTTAGCAGTTAAGATCGTAGCTTCAATAGGTTCCAAGGCCAGTATTGGCGGCCATGTTTGGTGGAATTGGCAGGGAATTATCTACGATGAGCTTATACTCTTAATTCGGACCTGCACTGTCAACGATTGGACCGTCTTAATGAAGCAATCACCCAGAAGCAAGAGAAATTTGTTTCATAAGGACAACGCCAGACCAGCAGCTTGGTTGGAAGGTTCTTATGCATCCACCTAGTGTCCGTACCAGGCACCAAGTGCTTACCATCTGTTCCTGTCCATGGCGAGCAATTTTGCTGGTGAAAAATTGGCCTCAAGTGAAGCTTGTGAAAATCGACTGTCTCTATTATTTGCCAATAAGTACGAGTGCGTCTATGTGCATAATGAAATTACCTTTAAAAGGGCAACAAGTTATCGAACGAAACGCCGCATGTTTGACCTAAATCGGATCATTTTAACTTTGGTAAATAAAGCCTTCAATTCCATCAAAAATAATGGATTACTTTTTACTATACCTTATATAACACACATTTGCTTTATATCGAAATACTTGCTTGATATTTTGCCATGATATTGTTTTTTGAACGAAATAATTAATGTAATTTAAATTCTAAAGGAATTTAATTTAAAAAAAAATTAAAATCGGTGGAGATGTTTACTCATTTCACAGATGAACAAGTTTAAGATCACATTTTTTGCCAAGGCAGCGTCTGAGATAGCGACAACTGTTCACTTACTACACTTGGTTCTTATTTCATCATGATTTCGATGTCCTTTCAGTGTCCTTAAAGAAAGGCGTGACTAAATATAAACTTGCCCCATTTGCTATGCTCAACAAGTTACACCATCAATTAGGTATATCCAACAAGCTTTTTGTACTCCCAGTAATTTTGATAATTACCTACGCGATATAAATTTTATGTCTGCAAAATTAATTTGTTGAGTTGTTTTTAGGGTGTCTTTTGTTAGACCTATGGTTTTCAAGAAGAAATAAAATGCAGATAATTTAATGTTTTGGCCAAGAATTCAGCTTTATTATAAATATAAGGGTTGGTAAATATATTTTAGGAAATGATTTCGACCGGCTGCAGCCCAGAGACCCGATTTTCTACCACTTTTTGCAACAATTAGGGCCGTGAATTAGCAATAACCCGCTTAATATTCTTTTTCTGGGCGTCAATCGTATCGTGTTTATCTGCGGACACAAGCGTCTTCGCAAAACCCCACAAAAAACAAAGTCCAGCGGTGTTAAACCGCACCAACTTGGAGGCCACGCAATCGGTCCACGTCGCGATTTATGTGCTCACTAAAAGTTTCATTTATTGATTGTTTCATTGGCTGTTTTTGGAAATAACCAGAAATCACAAGGTGTGGGATGGCGCGTTGTTATGATGTAAAAAGTAGTGCCACAAATCTTCTTTCTCACTGTTTTCCAAAATATTTTTGGAAACTATTTGTAAGCACTCTTCGGTATACCCTTTTGCAGTTACCGTCTGACCCTTTTCCAATAGAATAACAGCTACGATTTTAGATCGGGTGAAGTAAACTGATATCATTACTTTTGCTGCTGGTTTTTGTTGCTTTGATTTTACGGATGGTTTCGCTCTTCTTGGGTACGACACCATGGACTGCTATTTGGTTTCTGGATCGTACTTAAATAACAAAGACTTGCCACCACCGGCTTTACTAAAAATGCTAGACTGACCATTTTCGAATTTGATAAGGAAAAGTTGTGTAAAATGAGCTTAAACCTCTTTTTGGACCTCATTTAAAATTCGAGGTACCCATCGAGCAGATCTTCCCAGATGATTACTCAACATTCGCAACACAGCCATGGCACTCAAATTAAATTCATTAGAAAGCATTTCTAGTGTCAATCGTGGGTCTACGTGAATTTTGGACTTCACCTGAGCTAGAGTGACGTCATCAGTGGAAGATTTTGGTCGACCTTCTCGGCGCGCGTCCTCTACGGAAAAATGTACGGACTGAAATCTTCGGAATTGATTGGAAAGAGTCTTTAAATACGATGCAATCGTTCCATATGCAATTTGGCATTCACTGAATATTTGTATTTGCTGTAGATTACGCCGAAACCCGAAGAGAATGCCTTGACCTATTCTTAGCTTTGTTGCGTTTTCTTGTCTCCATTTCAGCTGATCGTTCTAAAATTTGAAAGGAAGACTAATAAAGTAATTGCAAAAGATTTGGTTTTTTTATATTTAACAAAAACAAATTGAAAGTCACCAACTGACCGAACTTCTGTTAATACCCTCGTCTATGATGGTTTACTTATGTGCAAGTGCTTCGGAGGAGCAAGATAAAAT